TGCTGAACCCCCAGTTTAGATGATCTGTGTGTGACTTGTGTCGTAGACAGTGCTGTGGTGCAATGTGATGTGCACCCAGCCGTCTGAACAAGCTGTCCATATCCACACCCGCTGACTTCCACCCACCCACGCCGGTGCTCCTATGCTGCAGACTGCACACTACCAAGCCGCTACTGTGATGTACGGCCGGTCACCCTACAAAGCCACAATAAACACGGCCAGGTGCTTCACCAGAAACACCCAATGATTGTTTTAGGGGGAGTGTAGTGAATTAGACGTTCATCTGTCAGACCTCTCTACTGTTGTCCTTAAGGGATATTTGCCATACTTATGGAATCGTGATTTGGTTCCTTCATATGGTGGCGGGAAGCCGCATTTCTTAGTTGCTTGTAACAGGAAGTGCAGACCATGCTGCTCCAACCTTATGTCACAAGCACGCTGCAGGCATGGGCAACTTACTGAAGCTAAGCAAAATCATGTCACACTCACCAGCAACAACGCCAGAGCCAGCCGTAGCCGCAGCTGCACATAAAGGAGAAACGATAGGGATGCACCATTGACATCAATACTTGCTCAAGGGAACGTGTTCATAGGTTCCATACAGCTTGCCAACAGTAAGAGATCTAAACGTTCCGAGGACCATACAATACACCATGCTCCTCAAGTTCACCGATGCCTAATTGAGCTGCTGATTGCTGCTTTCAGGGCGATAGGCTGCTGGAGATGAAGGTGTGCTCAGAGGTCATTCATGTTGAGAGATAAGACACCAATGCTAGCTTCATACAATAGATAACGCACCGTTCCAAAGCGGCTGTGACTTTAGGTGTCTTCATCATTGAAGCAGATCAACCGTCACGGCAAGCCCTCGTTATGCGTGTTTTGGTTACGATACCAGGTATAGGACAGAAGCAATCCCTAATGCAAAATATTTTCCCGACACGCTATTTGGCAGGGTCCGCGCCGCAGCCTCAGATGTACCCCAAAAACAACCGGCCTAATGGCCAACCCCGTTCAATGTGTGCGCACACAGGTTGCTTAAGTTGGTTTTGTCTTCAAATTGAGAGCGACCAATAGTAGCCGGAGCACACGCAACGCGGACTCTTCGGCAAGGTATGAGTTGAGAAGGAATCGCGCTTAGGATTTACCTATAATAGCATCCACCACGCCAGGCGCCAGACGCGCGTCGACGAGCCCTTCCCGTCTGGCAGTCCGCAAACGGTCAGCGGTGTTGTACTTCGCTGCCCAGAGCTTATCTATGTCATCTTCATCCAGTCCAACAGAACCCAGGCCAGCGTCTGCAACAGCAGCACACATAAGCTTCCTCCACTCATCTGGCGTCATAGCGTCTCGCAGGTTCTGCTTTATCTGCGTCGAGCCCAAGTACTAGGTGAACGCGAAATTAACACAGCTAAAGGTTGAAGTTCGTGTTCTGCTCGTTGCAATTGCAAGCTCTGACCAGAAAGAAATTTCGGGAGTCAAGCCGGAAATTGTTTCCAACCCTGGAGCTGACCGTTAGTACCGCCTTCCATTTGACAGCACAAAACAATTTTTCCTTAGGATTTTAATACGTTTCATGGAATGCTGGCGACCCGCTGAAGCGAATCTGAAAGGGCGCCACCACAGCTGCTTGTGCGATGCATAACTGAAGCCTAAGCGCTCGTTCACCGTACACAGCCAAAGTAGCTGGCGCACGTCAGCGACGAGGGCAGCATCTAGAGTATGTACCACTGTTCCCCTTCCTGTGCCGCCCGCTTCACCGCCGACAACGAAGGGCCAAGTACGGTGTGAAGTACGGGTAATTTACCGGTTCCCAAGATTTGCATAAACGCTGGAATTATAATTCGCTGAATAAGCAATGGGTGGGTGGGTGGGCTAATCGAAAGCAAGGAATCCAAATGATTTGCGCAAGCTGTTGCGTAATGCTCGGGTTCGCGTTTTCAGCCGCGGCTATGACGATCTCGCCAAGCTGGGACCCAAGGGTCTGCCATGCGCCGCCTTTGTGCATGGGCCATCTTTAACCTTTGCAGCACCTACAACCTGCTGATTCGAAAGAATCCTTAGAATGTAGCGACATATTGCGGGAGTTCTTGGGAGATTTGCCGGTCAACGGTTATGGCTCACTTATCACCAGATTCTCATCCGGCAGGGTCATGCTGAGCCGGATGCAGTAGCCGTAAAGTAGAACAAATTGTTGGCGCCGAGTCGCTATCTGCGATGGACTGCCGCCAACACCCCGGTTCCCATTCCCGTCGTGACCCTGCTGCGCGACTTAAAGGGTGTTCTGCCTGCCGTGAAGCCCTTGCATACACGGCCATGAGTGCGGGATTATCCGCGGATTCCGGATAGATTATCCGCGCGTGATCCCCTACACATCCAGATTTCTTTCGGGGCTTTCCCCGCCCTCAACCTGGTGCTGCTTGCCGAGTTGCTGCAAGCTGCCAGATGTAGATTGCGAAGGTAGACACAGGAGCTTCCAGGAAATTGCTGCCTG